GATTTCTTCCTGCAACATCTTTTATAAATAAAATATGTAAACTCAGCAAAAAAAAGAAACGTCCCTTTTTCAGGACCCTGTCTTTCAAAGATAATTCGTAAAAATCCCAATAATTCACAGATCTTCATTGTAAAGGGTTTTAAACACTGTTTCCCATGCTTGTTCAATGAACCATAAACAATTAATGAACATGCACCTGTGGAATGGTCATTAAGACACTAACAGCTTACAGATGGTAGGCAATTAAGGTCACAGTTATGAAAACGTAGGACACTAAAGAGGCCTTTCTACTGACTCTGAAAAACACTAAAAGAAAGATGCCCAGGGTCCCTGCTCATCTGCGTGAACATGCCTTAGGCATGCTGCAAGGAGGCATGAGGACTGCAGATATGGCCAGGGCAATAAATTGCAATGTCCGTACTGTGAGACGCCTAAGACAGCGCTACAGGGAGACAGGATGGACAGCTGATCGTCCTCGCAGTGACAGACCACGTGTAACAACACCTGCACAGGATCGGTACATCTGAACATCACACCTGCGGGACAGGTACAGGATGGTAACAACAACTGCCCGAGTTATACCAGGAACGCACAGGTGTGAGAAAATTACAGTTTGGGCTATATTTTTATACAGTGCTAAGAAGTTGAAATTGTAAAATCTGGAAGATTGCCCCTTTCCCTAATAAACATGAAGTGGTGCCAGTGGCTTCCTGCTTGTTTCTACTGTATATTCTTAAACACGTAGGATCACACTGGAACATACCAGACAAGCTTGATTTAATGACATGAGTAGGAATGTGTGTGATGATCTACAGTGGCTTGCGGAAGTATTCACCCCCCTTGGCATTTTTCCTATTTTGTTGTCTTACAACCTGGAATTAAAATTGATTTTTTTGGGGGGGTTTATCATTTGATTTACACAACATGCCTATCACTTTGAAGATGCAAAATATTTTTTATTGTGAAACAAACAAGAAATAAGACAAAACAGAAAACTTGAGCATGCATAACTATTCACCCCCCCAAAGTCAATACTTTGTAGAGCCAGCTTTTGAAGCAATTACAGCTGCAAGTCTCTTGGGGTATGTCTCTATAAGCTTGGCACATCTAGCCACTGGGATTTTTGCCCATTCTTCAAGGCAAAACTGCTCCAGCTCCTTCAAGTTGGATGGGTTCCGCTGGTGTACAGCAATCTTTAAGTCATTCCACAGATTCTCAATTGGATTGAGGTCTGGGCTTTGACTAGGCCATTCCAAGACATTTAAATGTTTCCCCTTAAATCACTCAAGTGTTGCTTTAGTAGTATGCTTATGGTCATTGTCCTGCTGGAAGGTGAACCTCCGTCCCAGTCTCAAATCTCTGGAAGACTGAAACAGGTTTCCCTCAATAATTTCCCTGTATTTAGCGCCATCCATCATTCCTTCAATTCTGACCAGTTTCCCAGTCCCTGCCGATGAAAAACATCCCCACAGCATGATGCTGCCACCACCATGCTTCACTGTGGGGATGGTGTTCTCGGGGTGATGAGAGGTGTTGGGTTTGCGCCTGACATAGTGTTTTCCTTGATGGCCAAAAAGCTCAATTTTAGTCTCATCTGACCAGAGGACCAGAGTCTCCCACAAACGTGTTTGCTTATTTTTTTCTGGCCACTCTTCCGTAAAGCCCAGCTCTGTGGAGTGTACGGCTTAAAGTGGTCCTATGGACAGATACTCAAATCTCCGCTGTGGAGCTTTGCAGTTCCTTCAGGGTTATCTTTGGTCTCTTTGTTGCCTCTCTGATTGATGCCCTCCTTGCTTGGTCCGTGAGTTTTGGTGGGCGGCCCTCTCTTGGCAGGTTTGTTGTGGTGCCATATTCTTTAAATGTTTTAATAATGGATTTAATGGTGCTCCGTGGGATATTCAAAGTTTCTGATATTTTTTTATAACCCAACCCTGATCTGTACTTCTCCACAACTGTGTCCCTGACTTGTTTGGAGAGCTCCTTGGTCTTCATGGTGCCCCTTGCTTAGTGGTGTTGCAGACTCTGGGGCCTTCTTCTTCTTCTTCAGTGGGGTTTATCGGCGGTTGGCATCCAACATTATGGTGCATTACCGCCATTACCGTGGTCCTCTGTAGCTCAGCTGGTAGAGCACGGCGCTTGTAACGCCAAGGTAGTGGGTTCGATCCCCGGGACCACCCATACACAAAAATGTATGCACGCACGACTGTAAGTCGGCATATTATTATTAAGTCGGCATATTATTAATGGCATATTATTATTATTTATTATTACAGACTCTGGGGCCTTTCAGAACAGGTGTATATATACTGAGATCATGTGACAGATCATGTGACACTTAGATTGCGCTCAGGTGGACTTTAACTAATTATGTGACTTCTGAAGGTAATTGGTTGCACCAGATCTTATTTAGGGGCTTCATAGCAAAGGGGGTGAATAGATATGCACGCACCACTTTTCCGTTATTTTTTTTTTATTACTTTTTTGAAACAAGTTATTTTTTTTCATTTCACTTCACCAATTTGGACTATTTTGTGCATGTCCATTACATGAAATCCAAATAAAAATCCATTTAAATTACATGTTGTAATGCAACAAAATAGGAAAAACATGCAACAATTTCAAAGATTTGACTGAGTTACAGTTCATATAAGGAAATCAGTCAATTGAAATAAATTCATTAGGCCCTAATCTATAGATTTCACATGACTGGGAATACAGATATGCATCTGTTGGTCACAGATACCTTAAAAAAAAAAAGTAGGGGCGTGGATCAGAAAACCTGTGAGTATCTGGTGTGACCACCATTTGCCTCATGCAGCGCGACACATCTCCTTCGCATAGAGTTGATCAGGCTGTTGATTGTGGCCTGTGGAATGTTGTCCCACTCCTCTTCAATAACTGTGCGAAGTTGCTGGATATTTCCAGGAACTGAAACATGCTGTTGTATGCGTCGATCCAGAGCATCCCAAACATGCTCAATGGGTGACATGTCTGGTGAGTATGCAGGCCATGGAAGAACTGGGACATTTTCAGCTTCCAGGAATTGTGTACAGATCCTTGCGACATGGGGCCATGCATTATCATGCTGAAACATGAGATGATGGCGGCGGATGAATGGCACAACAATGGGCCTCAGGATCTCGTCACGGTATCTCTGCATTCAAATTGCCATCGATAAAATGCAATTGTGTTTGTTGTCCATAGCTTATGCCTGCCCATACCATAACTCCACCGCCACCATGGGGCACTCTGTACACAACGTCGACATGAGCAAACCACTCGCCCACACCTTTGCCATCTGCCCAGTACAGTTGAAACCTGGATTCATCCGTGAAGAGCACACTTCTCCAGTGTGCCAGTGACCATCCAAGGTAAGCATTTTCACACTTTAGTCAGTTACAACGCCAAACTACAGTCAGGTCAAGAGCCTGGTGAGGACGATCACGCAGATTAGTTTCCCTGAGACGGTTTCTGACAGTTTGTGCAGAAATTCTTCAGTTGTGCAAACCCAGTTTCATCAGCTGTCCAGGTGGCTGGTCTCAAACGATCCTGCAGGTGAAGAAGCCAGATGTGGAGATCCTGGGCTGGCCTAGTTACACGTGGTCTGCGGTTGTGAGGCCGGTTGGACGTACTGCTAAATTCTCTAAAACGACGTTGGAGGTTGCTCATGGTAGAGAAATTAACATTAAACTCTGTCAACAGCTCTGGTGGACATTCCTGCAGTCAGTATGCCAATTGAACGCTCCCTCAAAACTTGAGACATCCGTGGCATTTTGTTGTGACAAAACTGCACATTTTAGAGTGGCCTTTTATTGTCCCAGCACAAAGTGCACCTGTGTAATGATCAAGCTGTTTAATCAGCTTCTTGATATGCCACACTTGTCAGGTGGATGGATCATCTTGGTAGAGGATAAATGCTCACTAACAGGGATGTAAACATATGTGTGCACAGCATTTTAGAGAAATAGTATTTTCTGGGATCTTTTATTTCACCTCATGAAACATGGGACCAACACTTACGTTGCGTTTATATTTTCGTTCCGTGTAGAAGAAAAAACCCTCCCATATAAAGGCCATTCCTAAATACATTCATCTTGAATGGAGGCAGAGACTGTATACTTTTTCCCAGGACCAAATTAAAATAGACATGATGCCACCCCCTCAGAGCAAACAGCTGCTCTTGGTAAACCCCTTCTCTCCAACTCTTTAAACACAGTTGTGTCTGTAAGGATGTAGCTGTGCATGGAGACAGGCCGTGTTCGAGAGCATCGAAACGACTGCAGGCGACCTACAAATCACCTTGCATCATAAATAACCACTCATTATTACGTGTAGATCTGTTACTCAGTGAATTTACCCATGATACATTGCGGTTTTGATCCTCTCGAACACAGCCACAGGCCTCATCCCAAAAGGCACCCTATTCCTCATATGGCAGTTTGTTGGCGGGTGTGAACAGTCATCTTACTCTGTCCAAACACATACACTTTCAATTGCATTCCAAACTAACCACAATTCATAAATACTTGTCTTTACCGTTTCCTTTAGAGTATTGGCAACTATTTTATGTGTCTTTATGGAAACAATGGACATGACTTATGATGATGCTTATGTTGTTAACCTCAAAGTACTCAAACTTATGACCGTTTCTTTTGTTGTAATTTTAAAAAATGTCACAAATAAAAGAGACATTTTAAAAAGAAACGAGAAAATGAGACCTATTTAAAAGATAGGAATGAACTTGTGCATTTTCTATGCAGCAAAATATAACCACACTAAAAAACAATAATGGCATTCTTCCCCCCAAAAAAAATCCAATCAGCAAGGAACACACCTTTTGATTAACAGAGATCATGAGGGGCAGGTCTAGGCCTGTACCACGTTGTCAGTGTCTCTAGGTTCTAGGAGATTGGCTGAGTAACCCTGTTCCACATTGTTACCCTCTGGTCCATAGTAACTGTTTCATAATTGGCTAGTTCAAATGCCTATTACACAGAGAGATTTTTTCCATGACAACATCAGTGGAGAGGTTCATGTCTCATGTTGAGTGAGTGTGTGTGTGTGTGTGTGTGTGTGTTTGTGTTCTCAGAACAGTTCAAGCAGCATGTTGAGTTTGCGTGTGTACGTGAGCATGTCCCCTCAGAAGAGTGCCATCAGCAAGGCGTAGTTGACGGGTAGGTTCAGGCGCTCCTCTGTCACTGGCAGGACCTTGAGCAGCTCCGGGGAGGCTAGGAGACTGGCCGTGGGGCCGACACGCTGCAACACACACGCCCCACACATAGGACCTCCATCGTCTGCACTATCCATCTACAACACACCGAGACAGAGAGTCAGTCATACACACACTTCACTCAAGAATAAGCTTTGTGAATGAACAGGAGTTCAGCATCTCAACTACCATCAACTGTATGTCCTAAATCCCTTTTATGACTTAACATTCACCGCCTCATCACAGCTCAGGCACACTAAATGTAACAGTGATAACATTATTTCCCCGTAGGTGCCCTTTGACAACTGACTAACTATTCCAGTTGGTTAACAGGTCTGACTTGTTAGCGGAATGTGGGCCAATTTTCTAAACCTCCTGCACCCACACCTGTCTGAAGTGATCAGGTCTGGTTGAGAGACATCGCAAATCAGAATTTGGTATGGTGGCGGGGAGGAGGATGCGGGGCCTTACGTATTTGAGTGGCAGCTTGCGCATGGCGAGGGGCCAGTCGGGCATGATGTGGTTATGACACTCCCGCACGGAGCAGCGGGGGGGCTGGCCCTCGGTCAGCAGGGCGCTGGTCAACTCTGTCCTCAGGAAGTACTCCTGGGGAACAACAGGAAGTTAAAGGGTTAACCATGGGAGAAGTTAGCCTGGTCCTGTATTCACAAAGAGTCTCAGAGTAGGAGTGCTGATCTAGGATCAGTTTTGCCTTTTAGATCACAAGGAAAATAATTATATGGACAGGGGGACCTGGTCCTAGATCAGCACTCCTGCTCTGAGAAGCAGAGAAGCCTTGGTCCCATACTGTACGTGCTGTAGTGTTTCCTACTGTCCTATCACTGTCAAGCCATACACACAGAGGGCTGGCTAATAACACAGACTGGACCACCAGGCTATGGGAGGAGGCTTTCACAGAACACAAATTCAATTGGAACACATTCACTTGCACAGTGACGTGCTCATTTGCGTCACATAAAATGTCACCCACAGAAGAATAAGGCTTTCTCAGAATTACATAACCACAACATCTTGCTTCAATGAACAGCTAGTACATTTCTCTGAGATCTGAGATGGTGTTTGAGAACAGTACACACAAAAAGAACGACTGGGAATAGGAGAGAGTTAAGTAGAGCGAAGGAGTGTTTTAGAGAGTGATGGAGAGGATTATGGAGGGGTAGAGGGAGACAAGTGAAGAGGGAAGGAGTGTAGTAGAGGGGGTCAGTGCCAGTGGAGGCTGCTGAGGGGCGGACGACTCATAATAACGGCCGGAATGGAATGGAATCAAACATGGTTTTCATGTGTTTGATTTCACTCCATTCCAGCCATTATTATGAGACGTCCTCCCCTCAGCAGCCTCCACTGGTCAATGCTCTCACCCCAGCCAGTGTGAGGATGTTGATGATGTTCTTGGTGATGACCAGAGAACTCTTGGCCCGCGTCACCGCCACATACAGCAGGTTCCACTCATCCTCTAGGATGTCACCTAGAGGAGGGGAGAGGAGGAGGGAGAAAACAGCCAACAGTCATTGGCCTTAGATCAGAGTTGGTATATGGATAGGTTTTCCAAATGCCTAATGATTGCTTGGATCATCTTCCATGGAATGCTTAGTGTGTCTTTAGTAGTCTAGTTCAAAAGAATTGTGGTGCAGCCATAACACACACACACACACACACACACACCTCCTGAGCAGCTGGAGAGTCTGGGTAAGTTGTGGGCGGCACAGGGGACCTTAGCGAAGTCATCAGTGATCACCACCGTCTCAAACTCCAGACCCTTCGATTTATGGACTGTCCCCAGGATAAAATCTAAGAGAGAGCAGGGGAGGGTTGAGAAACATTTGAAAGATCACTCTCAAAATACAAATACAGCAATTCATAACGCTGTGTGTCTGTACAGTTGTGTGTGCGTGTGTGTGGCATGTACTGTACTTGTGTGTATGTCTATGTGTTTGCGCGTGTACAGTATGTACCTGTGTGTACCTGTGTGTGTCGGGGCGGCAGGTAGCTTAGCGGTTAAGAGCGTTGTGCCAGTAACCGAAAGGTCGCTGGTTCTAATCTCCGAGCCGACTAGGTGAAAAATCTGTCGATGTACCCTTGAGCAAGGCACTTAACCCTAATTGCTCCTGTAAGTCGCTCTGGATAAGAGCGTCTGCTAAATGACTAAAATGTAATGTAAAATGTGTGGAAGTTTGTCAGTACAGTGTGTGTGTGTGTGTACCTGCGTGTTGGGCCTCTCTCTCTGCGCATCCGTAGAGGCGCTCCACCAGCTCAGGGATGCGGCTGTTGTATTTCTCCACCATGGAGAGTTTGCCCTCCAACTCACGGTCCTCTGTGTTTTTAGCATAACTCTTCAGCCCACAGTAGCCCCCCAGACTCTGCTTGGTGAACCTACGGATGAAGCTGTCCTTGATGCCTAGAGAACAGGGAGAAGAAGAAGAAGGGAGCAGGTTTAAAAAGGGACAGAGCTAGCTACTGTTGGGTTCTAGTTTGAAATACTTGCTATACTAGAAGTTAATGGTTACACGTATGAGGAATGTATATAATATAATAATATAAAATAATATGCCATTTAGCAGACGCTTTATCCAAAGCGACTTACAGTCATGCGTGCATTTTTTTTTTTTGTATGGGTGGTCCCGGGGATCGAACCCACTACCTTGGCGTTACAAGCGCCGTGCTCTACCAGCTGAGCTACAGAGGACCACATGGTGGTCGATGGAGGTTGGATAAGAGCCAAGGCCCTGGAGAGTTACTAAGTAAGGGAAAGGTCAATCACATGGTTGCGGTCACTGATGAAGGTGGATAGCTGTGCATTCGTGAGGAATGTGGGCCGAGGTCAGGTCAGCTCACATGAAGGGAGAAGGAACAGTTTATTACCCACATCATTTAACTTCCTGCCTAGCAACAGAGATGTAGTGTTAGAGAAAAGGAGGACACTGCCTAAAGGGGGGTATAAATACTTGTGCTGGTGGAAACATGTCTTTGTCTTATGCAGCTGTTTGACCCAGTGGGTGAATAAAATTGGTTTGAGCTTTGACTAATTGTCCGTTAAGAGTAAAAACTAACACTACTCACACTGTAGAGTAGAGCTATTGACTGACACACAATAATCTACCAATAAAACAATGAGCATTGAGAACCAAGGCAGAATACTGTCTTACCAAAAACAGATATATCACACAGGTACAACATACTAATTCACTTGTATTAGAATTGCGGAACTGAGGCAAGGGGCCACTCACCTCGAGAGCGGTTGTTTTCTGGCTGCATCAGAACCCAAATGTCCATGATTCTGTTCAGCCCAAAATTCTCCAACCCCTGGAGTGGAAAATATATGTCTTACCATGTGTTACACAAGACCCAAACACATTGTGCGTGTGTGGGTGTGTATGGACACTCACCCCTACGATGTGCAGCCTACAGCGGGGGTTGTCGTCGGTGAGTCTAACAGCTTGGTCGAACACAGAGACGTTAGAGCGAGACAGCACTGCTAACTTGCCCCGGCCAGGACTCAACCCTGTAGTCAGGGGACGCAGTGAGTCCACAGCCTTACCCTGCACACAGCCTGTGGACGGACACACACATTAAAAGGGCAGGTTGCACTATATATTTCCACAAATCTAACAACGTAGATTGATGATATTCCATCTAAAACGGTCTTTATGCAAAAACTTTTTTTTTTTTTAAATTACACAAAGTTCTATTTTCTCCATTTGAATTACATTGATCAAAAACGCATACCAACAATATATTGCATCTTTGATGTCAAGAAGAGAACAGCCTGGTGGTGGCGGCAGTGAACTACAACTGCTGTTTACCGGCATGCATGTTTGGTCGAAATGCGAGAAGTTGGGAAGAAACCGCTTCATGAGGATACGGCGGGCAGACTGGGCCAGGGAAACCCCTGGCGCTTCAGTCATATGCGGGGCTCAATTTTCCCCTAAACGATTGCGATGGCTACAAACAGTGGAAGAGTGATTAAAAAAAAAGCTAGCCTGCTAAGTGCACCGGGCCGTGCAAAACGAACTGGCCCACTCTAGCACGGTGTTTGGTGAGGGAATAAGCTAGCTACCTAGCAAGCAAGCTACAACAACTCCATCAACAGAATACTGCATGTTTTAAAGAAACGGACAGTGGCTTCACTCCTGCTCGTGTATTGTTCCTCTTTGTCACTTTTCCGACATATCTTTGGTCAAATAAAATATTAAATTCTCCCAAAATACAAATGTAAAGTGATATGTCGTATTGGGACTTTTAGTTAGAAGGATGAAACAAATCAGAATGTTTAACAGCAACCTAATTCTACAATCTTACCTTTAAAACAAACTGATCCAATCAGAACCAAAGAAACAATAAGAGCACAGTAGTCATGGAACACCATGGATATTTTACTGGCATGATTACACAGTTCAGAAAATCAACCTTAGACCTAGCAATATGAAGTAGGTGCACAAAGTCAACAGCATAGTGGGTCAATTTCAGCAACAACTAAGAGCGTTAAAGCGTGAGGCTAAACTTCTCCGTTTTGGTTCCATTCCCACCACGCTCTAACAGCGTGAAGCGAACCCATGCACATGCGAAGATACTGTGTGTGACCGTGTGAGAGTGAAGTCTTGCATCTCGCTCAATGCAACGTCATTTCGCTGAGTCAACCTTTAAAAATGTCCAATGCAGCCATTCTTATTTTAATATCAAATCATTTGAGTTACAATTAAGTCCTTTAGTGTAATAGTTTTACATAAAAAAGGGTCACAAAGAAACAAATACCCTTTTAGCAAAAAGCTATTTCTCAAGCAAGAATGTTGCTGTCTGAGTGGGGGCGGGGAAGGGCACCAAAACGGTGCATTAACCACAGTGTGGATCAATCGCCGGAGCGGTGAGGCCTAATAGGAGGGATATGTAATCTGAAAACTAGCTATTGGCAGAGAGGTTTGGAAATCTATTTGTTATTGGTCTATTAACTTATACCGCCTGGTGATGTCACCAGGCAAGCCAAAACTCCACCAATAGGCCCACACGGGAAAGTGACGTTTTCAACGAAAATCACAGGAGCAGGGTATGGAAGCAATCTTTCCCCATTGAAAGCAGTGCAGCCAAGCCTGAAGTCAAGCAATAACGACACACATAATTTACATTTTCTTTATAGCTCCCGTCCAAATGTTGTGAATTATATACACAGTTTATTAAGTACACCACCCCCGTTCACAAAAATGGTTCGCTCCTACAGACAGTGAGTCGCGTGGCCGTGGATTGCTATATAAAGCAGGCAGACGGGCATCGAGGCATTCAGGTTACTGTTCTTTTGAACGATAGAATGGGCAAAACGAGTGACCTAAGCGACTGAGCGTGGTACGATAGTCGGTGCCAGGCGTGCCGGTTCCAGTATCTCAGAAACCAGAAGCGGCTCTAGTGGACACGCAATCACCAACACTCGACAATTGAGGAGTGGAAAAACATTGCATGGTCCGACGAATCCCGGTTCCTGTTGTGTCATGCTGATGGCAGAGTCAGGATTTGGAGTAAGCAGCATGAGTCCATGGCCCCATCCTGCCCGGTGTCAACAGTACAGGCTGGTGGCGGTGGTGTAATGGTGTGGGGAATGTTTTCCTGGCACACGTTAGGTCCCTTTATCCCAATTGAGCAACGTTTCCATGCCCCAAAGAATTCAGGCTGTTCTGGAGGCAAAGGGAGGTCCGAGCCGGTACTAGATGCTACTAAGTGTATATTCATGTCATCGTCACCAGTCAACTCCATTACACTCAAGTTACTTCAACTTCAACCAGTGAATGCTAGCGATGGCTAGCTATTCTACCAGTCTTTTCTAATGATTGTTAGCATGCTAATAGCACACCTGCACACTATTTGTTGTATTTTTAAGGGGTATGCAGTAGGTTGATAACTATCACCAAAGTATGTTGCATTGGACATTTCAAACAACTTTCCCAGCTAATGAGAAAACAGACATGGTATTTAATTTAAGAGAATGAACAAGATTGGACAAGGCAACCTTGGGGATAATTTGAATGGGTGCCAACAGCAGATTGAGGGATTTTGAAATCCGTTCCCCAACACGACCTACATGACCATAGTGGGCCAGGAAATAACACTGATACATTTTTTTTTACAGTGTTCGTTACATCTGCTGTTGTACAATGTGATACAAAACACAGGAAAACTGTCATTAGTGTTTTTTCACTCACCTTCCTGTTTTCCTCCTACCAGAATCTTCTTCACTTTCTTACACACTTGGAGAATCGTGGCTCCAATGTAGGCAATCTCAGAACCAAACCTAAAGCTCTGAGAAGAGAAAAAAATACATATTCAATAAAAAAAACTGAGCTTTTGTTTAGAGAGTATATACCTGAGCGAGGGAGAAGTGTGTGTGTGTACCTGGGTGAGGTAGTAGAGGTGTGTGTGTTCCACCAGGTTCAGAGCATTGACTGCTCCTCTGAAGGTGTAGATCTGCTGGTGAGGGTCTCCCACCAGGATCTTCCCACAGTGCTGAGGCAGCATGATGTCCATGATGGCTAAGACACATACACACACACACTTATCATGGACCTGCTATCAGGTGAGTGGTGCCTGGTGCAGGTGTAATGTAGACCCAGGTTTGGTCCAGGTGTGGTACAGTGCAGTGGTGTAGTTAAGTTGTGTACCTGGAGTGCAGTCCTGTGCCTCGTCTATAAAGATTACATCATACTTGTCCAGAGTCGGCCTCTGCAGCTGCCACAGCTTCAGATACCCTGGAAGACATTCAGTAAGGACCCAATCCTAAAACACTGACATATTCAAAAGTTCAAACACATCTCCAATGGATTACTAAGTAGGCTTAAGTTACACCTGTGCATCTCAAGTTAGGATTTGGAAAAAAGCTAACCGTTTTTGGGCTTACCATCATGGGTCATGTGGTATGCAGACTCCCTGGTTTCTTCTAAGGCAACCATTTTGTCCCAGATCCTCTGAGCATCCCTCGCAAACATCTGCAAAATAAAAAGTTTGTTCAATTGTGGAGATGACCTGTGTGTGTGACCTGTTTGTGTGTTTTCTGGAGTGTGACTATATGTGTGTGGGGGATGTTTCTTTGGGAGGAGAGGTGTTTGTGGATTTGGGTATAACACTTACCCTTTTTGCATTGCGGTCAGGCACGGTCAATGTGCCATGTGTGTTTTTGTACATGTTTGGGACGTGGTTGGGGGTGATGTGTGTGTCGGCCGACGCCATGTAGGCATTGAGGGTCAGGGTGACCACCTTGGCGTTGACGAAGCCCCCGCTGCCCTTAGGCAGCACCCAGGCCACAGAGAAGGGCTTCACGTTACCAGACAACTTCTTCAACTCCTGGTACCTGGGAGAGGGGGGAAAGGGATATGAACTACTGACCAACTGGATGACTGATTGAACAACTGATTGAATAGCTTTACTGAAAGACTTGACGACAGCCAGACATACGGACAGAAACTGGTCTAGACCGACAGACAGAAAAGTAGACCTCTTGCCGACGGCTCCGAAGGCCATGGAGTGGACCGTCCTGCAGTCCACGTTGCTGGGGAAACAGCTCTGGGCCTGGGTGGCCACCGACTTGTTGAAGGCCATATAGAGGAAGTGGAGGTGTGGCCTCTGCTGGGCGTACCGAACCAGGGTGGTGGTCTTCCCTGTGCCTGAAACACAGCAACAACCTTTAACCCCTACACTACATTCTAGCAGGAACATTCACACATAAGGCACAATCAACAGCTCACAATGTGGGGTGGACCATGTGTGTGTATCCACTTGAAATACTCTGCAATTGTCACGATATAGAAAGAGTACTCTCATTCTCATCCTGAACTGATGAATCACAGACTGAGCTGAACTGACAGGGAGAGGGTGCCCTCTAGCGATAATTCAGAGAATGCTAGCAAAAGTACCAACTCTATATCTAACTTGTTTTCTGTTAAAAAATATTTTTAAAACACAGGTGTGACATGATGTTGGTAGTAGCGGTCTGGTGGTCTGGTGGTACCTGCGAAGGCCATGATCTTGACCACGTGGTCTCTATGGATGTCGTGGTTGAGGATCTGCTGCTGTTCGTGGGTCACCTGAACCTGGGCTCTCCTGGGAGAGAGAGGACTAGGCATGAGACTCAGGTTATGACTGATTCATTAAAAATACTTCCTTCCAGAAAGATATCAGTCCTCACCCACTCTGATTGGTTATTGCTGTGGGCAGGGCGTTCTCCATCAGGTGAAGGACGTAGAAGATATTGTAGTGCCACCTGGAGTGGAGGAAGGAGAAGAGAGGTGCAGAGAGAGACAGTCAATGTCCGCCTGTCTATCCATCTGTTTGTACATGTCTGTATCTTTCCATCTGTATATAACTTATATCTTGACCTGTTGCTGATGTTGATGTCCTTCCTCCTCATGGCGAGCAGCATGGTTGCCATGGCGCTGAGGTACTCTGTGATGGCACTGGCTGAAGGCAGGCAGCCTCTGAGACAGACCACCAGGTCCAGAACATCTCCCACCCCGTCACACAGCACCAGCATCAGGGCCATGGCTGCCCACGGGTTAGGGCCCTGACAAACACACACACAGTCCAATCAGATCAGCTCAGAAGTATAGTAGTAGTTCCAACCGTGTATACAGTGGGGGAAAAAAGTATTTAGTCAGCCACCAATTGTGCAAGTTCTCCCACTTAAAAAGATGAGAGGCCTGTAATTTTCATCATAGGTACACGTCAACTATGACAGACAAAATTAGAAAAAAAATTCAGAAAATCACATTGTAGGATTTTTAATGAATTTATTTGCAAATTATGGTGAAAAATAAGTATTTGGTCACCTACAAACAAGCAAGATTTCTGGCTCTCACAGACCTGTAACTTCTTCTTTAAGAGGCTCCTCTGTCCTCCACTCGTTACCTGTATTAATGGCACCTGTTTGAACTTGTTATCAGTATAAAAGACACCTGTCCACAACCTCAAACAGTCACACTCCAAACTCCACTATGGCCAAGACCAAAGAGCTGTCAAAGGACACCAGAAACAAAATTGTAGACCTGCACCAGGCTGGGAAGACTGAATCTGCAATAGGTAAGCAGCTTGGTTCGAAGAAATCAACTGTGGGAGCAATTATTAGGAAATGGAAGACATACAAGACCACTGATAATCTCCCTCGATCTGGGGCTCCACGCAAGATCTCACCCCGTGGGGTCAAAATGATCACAAGAACGGTGAGCAAAAATCCCAGAACCACACGGGAGGACGTAGTGAATGACCTGCAGAGAGCTGGGACCAAAGTAACAAAGCCTACCATCAGTAACACACTACGCCGCCAGGGACTCAAATCCTGCAGTGCAAGACGTGTCCCCCTGCTTAAGCCAGTACATGTCCAGGCCCGTCTGAAGTTTGCTAGAGTGCATTTGGATAATCCAGAAGAGGATTGGGAGAATGTCATATGGTCAGATGAAACCAAAATATAACTTTTTGGTAAAAACTCAACTCGTCGTGTTTGGAGGACAAAGAATGCTGAGTTGCATCCAAAGAACACCATACCTACTGTGAAGCATGGGGGTGGAAACATCATGCTTTGGGGCTGTTTTTCTGCAAAGGGACCAGGACGACTGATCCGTGTAAAGGAAAGAATGAATGGGGCCATGTATCGTGAGATTTTGAGTGAAAACCTCCTTCCATCAGCAAGGGCATTGAAGATGAAACGTGGCTGGGTCTTTCAGCATGACAATGATCCCAAACACACCACCCGGGCAACGAAGGAGTGGCTTCGTAAGAAGCATGTCAAGGTCCTGGAGTGGCCTAGCCAGTCTCCAGATCTCAACCCATAGAAAATCTTTGGAGGGAGTTGAAAGTCTGTGTTGCCCAGCGACAGCCCCAAAACATCACTGCTCTAGAGGAGATCTGCATGGAGGAATGGGCCAAAATACCAGCAACAGTGTGTGAAAACCTTGTGAAGACTTACAGAAAACGTTTGACCTGTGTCATTGCCAACAAAGGGTATATAACAAAGTATTGAGAAACTTTTGTTATTGACCAAATACTTATTTTCCACCATAATTTGCAAATAAATTAATTAAAAATCCTACAATGTGATTTTCTGGAGAAATAAAATCCTCATTTTGTCTGTCATAGTAATTACAGGCCTCTCTCATCTTTTTAAGTGGGAGAACTTGCACAATTGGTGGCTGACTAAATACTTTTTTCCCCCCACTGTATATACACACGTGTGTGTGTGTGTGTGTGTGTGTGGCTACGTACCCCCTCGATACCCTCCAGTTTTGGGAGTCTGTGTTTAATGCAGGCCTCAGCCTGAGGGAACAGACAATGTGTCCTCACACGCTGTAACACTGCCTCAGGTTTCACCCTCTGACTGGGCTTATACTGGGCCATGAACCTGAAAAAAAAAAAACACAGAATAGATCAGAAATGATCAGAAATGGCCCAAAGGAACAGTTTACAGTAAAGAGTCCTTACTCGACTATATGGAGGATGCTCTCCTGGTCGTTCTTTTTGATTCTATGGGTTTCCAGGATGGCGTCGATCTCCTTCACCGCCTCGCTCTCCTTCTTTGTGTAGCGGTAATACAGCTTCTTCCAGGGCACAAACTACACATAGGGCCCAAAGACACAACTTAACCCCAAAAAAATCTACACAGCACATATATTAACATTTTCACACTAGCTAATCTTCATAACTTGAACCCTAACTTCCTCCCCCTGTCCCAGGTTCTCACCAGTGACTGGGTGACAATGTTCCTCCAGCGTTGGCAGACCAGGCTGACATGACAGTAGAGGTCCTCAGCAGGCAGGAGGCTCAACACCAGCATCAGCACCTCCTCTGGGAGGTCGTCCACGTGGCCCTGGGGATGGGCCAGGCTCCTGCTGCTTCCCAAGAGGCCGTAATGGGCGTCAGGCAGGGCCTCCACCTCCTCATCATGGTGGTTCATAAAGGCTGGGGCTGGATCTAACCAACAGCGCTCAAACTCTTTGTCGTCCCCAAACATGTCCGTTGTCAGCCCCTCCAGATAGTCCACCTTCTCATCCTCAGGTTCCTCCTTCATGGGGGTGGCTAGTGCCTCCTCCTCCTCAACAGGCTCCTTTTTGGGGATGAGCTCTCCGTTGAATCCCTCTGTCTTTATGGAACTTGAGCCCTGGGACAGGGCTGCTTTCTGAGGACTTAACACCCTGACCACACTGATCACAGGGAAAAACTGAGTGATCCCCTGCTGCTGCTTGTCATTACTCGCATCTGAGATCCAGGCAAGAGAGAAGAGGGAGCAATGGGAGGGGATGACAAGGTAAATGATATGTGTACAAAATGTTACATCACTTCAGGTCTCAAGAGTTTAAAAACTAAAAGACACACAAATGTACAGTACCTCTCTTTCTCTTTGTGGGTGTTCTGGGGTACAACCCCCGGTTGGGGTCTGAGTTGCTGTGCCTGCGAGTGACGGAGTGGGGCTGTGTGAGGGGTCGGCTGCCCTCTGGTCTCCTACTCATTTCACGACACTCCTCTGAGCTCAGGTGCCTTCGCTTGGCTTTTCCTGCAACATCACCAGGGCTTTGAGTACATCTCTACATCACTGCTACACTCTCTCATACACCTTCATGGCACCAGTCCTGTGTTTTGGGTCAGTACTGAGAATGCGTAACAGATTAACGTTACAGACGCCGTTGTAGAGCTAAGATTACAGATGTGTGACATGCATTAGCAAGTTACAGTAGTTGGCTACCTAGCAAGTGCCATTTACCATCCTCAAACAAGCACCATTACCTTTAATGGATGATTCCATCTTGTTGTTTCAAGAAAACCTGTTGATATCCAATCATTCGTTTCCTGCTTTTTCGAAAAAAACAAGTTTTCTAAATGTTAGCGTACATGCTAGCTAGCTAGTGTGAGCACCCAAACAACCCTAGGCGAAGTTGGCTAGCCCGTGTTTATATCAGCTAATGTACAGCGCAAAGTAAAGTTCGCTTGTTGATTTAGACATTCACCTTTTTAAATACTATTCAATATTACTGATAAAATATCTAGCATAGTTGTTGTTGATAACTCACAGCTAGCTAAGCGTTTATTGGATACTTGGTTCTTCTTTGGTGAATTTACGGAGTTCAATGTGTTTTTGTTTGTATAGCGCCACCTATTGGTCAGTAGGAGAATAGCAAAAGGCAAAAGAGGCTGAAAAGAAAAGTAGGCCTACATGTTGCTGTAAGAATAACATGTTTATTGACACCAAGTGAATTCAATTAATGCTAATTGCTAAATAAAATGTGAGGATCATCTGCATGTCAACCTTATACTAGTAAGGAGACATCTACACCTTGGTCTAACAGAGCATTGGTGTGAACTAATGGATGTCAACGTAAATGCACCGACATGCACAAAAGTATTGCCGTTTCGAGTAACATCTTTCAAGGCACATTATTATTAGAACAGTACCTTTTAAAAGTTATTTTACAGTGAAGTTTAGTCAGTTGAGTTAGTGAAAGTTAGGAATGTTCCAGTATGTAATCACAATTATTATTTAGAACTATATTCAGATCAGGGTAAGAATGTATTATCAGACAGCTTGTAATATCAAATTAATCACAAAGATGGTATCTAATTGTGACTATCCCCACAGGTAAAGGTGCATGGACGTATGGCGCATACCTCAATATAAAGAGAGAAGAATTCCGTTAAAGGTGGTGGGTCTTAGATAATACAAGCTGTAGGGTAACACTCCATGAATTTCATGGACTGATCCCCAAGACAACAGCTTAAAGCCACAAAATGGCCACCCTGTTGACAGTGTCATCCCTGGTTTAGTCCATATTCGTAGTATAACAGAGACTACAACAAAGGAGTAGGCAGCCTAATGCCCTCTCCCTCTATTCCCATCAATCTAGTTTACTCTCTCCACTTTACTTTCTCTCCCCATCATTCTCTCACTGTTTGAGCACTCTGAGTTCATTGGGTTTAAAGAAGGCCTGGGACATCCCCATGCCGTAGATGTAAACCTTAGAGTCCACCACAATCTTCTCCTTCTTCATCAGGTCTGTAGGAGGGGGGGGGGGGGAAATCATGCAAATATGATCTCTTCAGGTAATCACTAGCAGAATATAATAACGGTAATAGTATGCTTTTCTGTCTCAAATTGGATTCCACTATGACTTGTGAATTGTGAAGAAGAAACTTCAATCGTTGCTCACCATCAATTTTCCTCTGGAATTCATCAAGAGGTAGAAGAAGAACTTCAACAAATTCTGGAAGTAAAACAGAGGCCAGAATAGGATTTAGGTCAATGTTATTCTAATAGTGGAAAAATACCAACAGTGTGATTATAAAGAAAAAAAGATTTACCTCCATCACCTGGAAAAGAGTAAAAGAGAGGGAGGAAAGCAGAGAAATAAGAACAAGTTCAGGACAATGTACAATACATATCAGCTTGACAATAAAAAACATTGTATCCCATTTTCTAGATTCATAACATTCCAAGAGTCTGACCCCTAACTTACCCAGCTGCTGTGTGGGGTTGGTGTTTTCAAGGTCATCTCCATTGATGTTCACCATGACGATCTGTGTGGTGCAGTTAGAGAGGCCAGGGTCCAAGCAGGTCACTGCGAGGTCAAGAGGAAGGGGGAGAGGAAAGGGGGATGAACGGGAGTTCAAACTTGTAATCAGCTGTGTGTTACTGCCCCACTAGTCACTGACATCATACTGCACTCTCTCATTCCCAATGGTAAAACTGGCAACTCAGAAGATCACAGGCATATTGAATTTCTCCTCGCTGATGGAACATGGACATAATCTGCCCTGTGTTTTGAGTGTGTGTGTTCATAAGACCCTACCTGGGGTGACTCCCACCACCTCCCCCTTGTAACCAGTCTCCTCCTTCAGCTCTCGCAGAGCAGCAGTCTCTGCACTCTCACCCTCGTCAATCAGACCTGAGCAACAGCAAAAACACACACAGACAGCAAACACAGATATCAGAACACAGAAGGCAAAACACAGCAATGACAGGCCTACATACAGTGAGGGAAAAATGTATTTGATCCCCTGCTGATTTTGTACGTTTGCCCACTGACAAAGACATGATCAGTCTATAATTTTAATGGTAGGTTTATTTGAACAGTGAGAGACAGAATAACAACAACAAAAATCCAGAAAAACGCATGTCAAAAATGTTATAAATTGATTTGCATTTTAAATGAGGGAAATAAGTATTTGACCCCCTCTCAATCAGAAAGATTTCTGGCTCCCAGGTGTCTTTTATACAGGTAATGAGCTGAGATTAGGAGCACACTCTTAAAGGGAGTGCTCCTAATCTCAGCTTGTTACCTGTATAAAAGACACCTGTCCACAGAAGCAATCAATCAATCAGATTCCAAACTCTCCACCATGGCCAAGACCAAAGAGCTCTCCAAGGATGTCAGGGACAAGATTGTAGACCTACACAAGGCTGGAATGGGCTACGAGACCATCGCCAAGCAGCTTGGTGAGAAGGTGACAACAGTTGGTGCGATTATTCGCAAATGGAAGAAACACAAAATAACTGTCAATCTCCCTCGGCCTGGGGCTCCATGCAAGATCTCACCTCGTGGAGTTGCAATGATCATGAGAACAGTGAGGAATCAGCCCAGAACTATCTTGTCAATGATCTCAAGGCAGCTGGGACCATAGTCACCAAGAAAACAATTGGTAACACACTACGCCGTGAAGGACTGAAATCCTGAAGCGCCCGCAAGGTTCCCCTGCTCAAGAAAGCACATATACAGGCCTGTCTGAAGTTTGTCAATGAACATCTGAATGATTCAGAGGAGAACTGGGTGAAAGTGTTGTGGTCAGATGAGACCAAAATCGAGCTCTTTGGCATCAACTCAACTTGCCGTGTTTGGAGGAGGAGGAATTGCTGCCTATGACCCCAAGAACACCATCCCCACCGTCAAACATGGAGGTGGAAACATTATGCTTTGGGGGTGTTTTTCTGCTAAGGGGACAGGACAACTTCACCGCATCAAAGGGACGATGGACGGGGCCATGTACTGTCAAATCTTGGGTGAGAACCTCCTTCCCTCAGCCAGGGCATTGAAAATGGTTCGTGAATGGTATTCCAGCATGACAATGACCCAAAACACATGGCCAAGGCAACAAAGGAGTGGCTGAATAAGAAGCACATTAAGGTTCTGGAGTGGCCTAGCCAGTCTCCAGACCTTAATCCCATAGAACATTTGTGGAGGGAGCTGAAGGTTCGAGTTGCCAAACTTCAGCCTCGAAACCTTAATGACTTGGAGAAAATCTGCAAAGAGGAGTGGGACAAAATTCCTCCTGAGATGTGTGCAAACCTGGTGGCCAACTATAAGAAACGTCTGACCTCTGTGATTGCCAACAAGGGTTTTGCCACCAAGTACTAAGTCATGTTTTGCGGAGGGGTCAAATACTTATTTGCCTCATTAAAATGCTAATTAATTTATAAAATTTTTGACATGCGTTTTTCTGGATTTTTTGTTTGTTATTCTGTCTCTCACTGTTCAAATAAACCTACCATTAAAATTATAGACTGATCATGTCTTTGTCAGTGGGCAAACGTACAAAATCAGCAGGGGATCAAATACTTTTTTCCCTCACTGTACACTGCGTCTGAACAGAGTTTTGAGATGTGACTGTAAACCCATGTCACCTGCAGGGAACTCTAGGGTACAGCACCCCATTGGTGGACGGAACTGCTTCACCATGACAACGCAGTCTTTGTGGAGGGTCCTCTTCAGAAGGGCGATGATCCCCACACCTGGAATATAACACAGGAATCAATTTATATAATGTCACTGCTTATCCATCAGTATGAAATGTACACACACACACCATCTGCTGCGTTGGCCTGTCTGGTTGTCCTTTTCGTAGTCTCCCAAGTTCTATTGAAAGACAAAGATGAATTGTAAAATGGAGAATGGAATAAAACGTTTTTATCAAAAGTAGCTTATGCAACTGATTGATGTGTTCCAAACCTTGTGTTTCCAACAGGGTCCACATAGGTGGTCTTCTCAAGTTTCAACCATTTCCCAGATGCAATGACCTGAAGATAATACAGTTGAGTAATGTGATATAGCTAAACCAAGAGACTCATTTACACCACACAATGTACATGTTATTATATCATATCTACCTCCTCTTTTACAACGTGAGGTATGGTTGTCGATTTGGGAGGGCTGCTCATCTTTCCAGTGTTGTTCTCAGGGAAATGGATGGAGGATTTTTTTTTTGTCTGCCCAAATCCAGAAAAACTATTGATTACTTGCATGAGTTGATAATTAATAGAGATATATGCAATGCAGATAGTTAAAAGGCATACATTAAGTTTATTTTTAGCATGGCTGAAGCAGCTAGTCGGATTAATCAGGCTGTAATACACAATTAATTGGTATATACAACCTGAAACAAATGCCTGCAAAATCGCGTAAATGTTCCTTACAAGCCAGAACGCTGTGCGTTACAGGGAAGACATCCTCCTCCCTCATGTGGTACCCTTCCTGTTGTCTGTGGAAATGGTTCCAATCGTTTTTCCACCATTCATTTTTCTCATAGGGGATTTTAGAATCACTTAAAATAAGGGCTGTGTTTCATGTAGGCTTACCCTGGCATGACGTTTTGATAAACATGTAAATCTCTTACGGTCAAGGTGACTTTTATCAATATATTTGGCTCTATTTATTTTCAGATAAAAAAAATGCTACTTAACATCAAAGTAGACATCTTGTCAGACTACAAATCCCTTATATTGATAAAAGTCATCTGAGAGAGATTTACACGGTTATCAAAACGTCACGCCAGGGTAAGCCTACACAAAACACAGCCCTTATTTTATGTGTTTCTAAAATCCCCTATGGGAAAAATGAATGGTAGAAAAACGATTGGAACCATTTCCCTGTTTGACAGCTAGGTATTATGAATCATAATGTGGTACTCTACCTACGTGCCAACCCGAACCATATAAACTCAGCAAAAAAAAGAAACATCCCCCTTTCAGGACCCTGTCTTTCAAAGAGAATTCGTAAAAATCCAAATAACTTCACAGATCTTCATTGTAAAGGGTTTAAACACTGTTTCCCATGCTTGTTCAATGAACCATAAACAATTAAATGAACATGCACCTGTGGAACGGTCGTTAAGACACTAACAGCTTACAGACGGTAGGCAATTAAGGTCACAGTTATGAAAACTTAGGACACTAAAGAGGCCTTTCTACTGACTGAAAAACACCAAAAGAAAGATGCCCAGGGTCCCTGCTCATCTGCGTGAACATGCCTTAGGCATGCTGCAAGGAGGCATGATGACTGCAGATGTGGCCAGGGCAATAAATTGCAATGTCCGTACTGTGAGACGCCTAAGACAGCGCTACAGGGACACAGGACAGACAGCTGATCGTCCTCGCAGTGGCACCACGTGTAACAACACCTGTACAGGATCGGTACATCCGAACATCACACCTGCGGGACAGGTACAGGATGGCAACAACAACTGCCCGAGTTACACCAGGAACGCACAATCCCTCCATCAGTGTTCAGACTGTCCGCAATAGGCTGAGAGAGGCTGGACTGAGGGCTTGTAGGCCTGTTGTAAGACAGGTCCTCACCAGACATCACCGGCAACAACGTCGCCTATGGGGACAAACCCACAGTACCTAGACCAGACAGGACTGGCAAAAAGTGCTCTTCACTGACGAGTTGCGGATTTGTCTCACCAGGGGTGTCGGATTCGCGTTTATCATCAAAGGAATGAGCGTTACACCGAGGCCTGTACTCTGGAGCGGGATCAATTTGGAGGTGGAGGGTCCATCATGGTCTGGGGCAGTGTGTCACAGCATCATCGGACTGAGCTTGTTGTAATTGCAGGCAATCTCAACGCTGTGCGTTACAGGGAAGACATCCTCCTCCCTCATGTGGTACCCTTCCTGCAGGCTCATCCTGACATGACCCTCCAGCATGACAATACCACCAGCCATACTGCTCGTTCTGTGTGTGATTTCCTGCAAGACAGGAATGTCAGTGTTCTGCCATGGCCAGCGAAGAGCCCGGATCTTAATCCCATTGAGCACGTCTGGGACCTGTTGGATCGGAGGGTGAGGGCTAGGGCCATTCCCCCCAGAAAAGTCAGGGAACTTGCAGGTGCCTTGATGGAAGAGTGGGGTAACATCTCACAGCAAGAACAGGCAAATCTGGTACAGTCCATGAGGAGGAGATGCACTGCAGTACTTAATGCAGCTGGTGGCCACACCAGATACTGACTGTTACTTTTGACCCCCCCTCCTTGTTCAGGGACACATTAATAATAATAATATGCCATTTAGCAGACGCTTTTATCCAAAGCGACTTACAGTCATGCGTGCATACATTTTTGTGTATGGGTGGTCCCGGGGATCGAACCCACTACCTTGGCGTTACAAGCGCCGTGCTCTACCAGCTGAGCTACAGAGGACCACATGCCATGCCACATTATTCAATTTCTGTTAGTCACATGTCTGTGAAACTTGTTCAGTTTATGTCTCAGTTGTTGAATCTTGTTATGTTCATACAAATATTTACACATGTTAAATTTGCTGAAAATAAACGCAGTTGACAGTGAGAGGACGTTTCTTTTTTTGCTGAGTTTAGTTGTAAATAGGATATTCGGTTATCTCGTCAATAACTATTGAACCAAGTATGCCATGACAATGGAAATTGTATATTCTGAATCAGGGGTGGATGGTGAATAATTTACACCTTTTTTTGTGTGTGAATTTTTCATTGTTGGATTTTCATTGGATTTCAATCTTTAACTTTTTTTAGATTCAGAATATAGCATTTTCATGGCATGCTTGGTTCAATAGTTATTGACGAGAGAACCTAATATCCCACATAAAACGAACTTTACCTCGATGCTGAACCGACCCATATAACTACCAGCTCTCTAAAATGTCGGGTAAACAATAGTTTTGACAAACCGGTAGAGCAAATTTAAATGTAATTTTATTCAACATTCCGGCTTGTAAGGAACATTTACACGATTTTGTAGGCATTATTTTGAGGCTGTAACTTTGCTAACTAGTTAGCTATATACCAAGTAATTGTCTATTACAGCCTGATTAATCAGACTACTAAATTAGCTAGCTACCAAGTTCATTTCTAGGGGACTAAACTCCTCTCCATGGTGAAAGAAGTTTCTGATGAACTTCAAACTTCCTTCACCATGGAGAGGAGTTTAGTCTGCTAGCTCATTCCTAGCAAAACCCACATGCTGTTATGTAAATATTCTTAAGAGTTACAATATTAACCTAGAAAAAAAGCATAGTTACTTGTAAATTGGATACATGTGCAGTACTCACATGAAGATGAAGTGGTTTTAGTCACAAGTCAAGTAAAGCAGTGATGACTCCCTGATTAAAACAAAAAAAGCCCCCCAGCATTGACGACGCCTATGTGTGCAACGCAAAAATAATCTCCCTCTTCTGAAAAATATTATAATAGATTAGAGACGGTCTACAACCATTCCAGATAACCTAACCTGAAATATAATTCAATTAAAACTTGGTAATAAATACAAGCCATTCTCATTTTGTTGTAATGGAAAGGTTGTAAACAACATGGAAACCAATGTCAATAGCCTTTATTTTAGGGGAAGTATATGTGGCTGGACTCACTTCCGGTAAAGCATTTGCAGTATGAAGAAGGAGCAAGTTGTAAATTGTCAGTTTTCGGTCTGGTATCCGATATTTAAGAAGCATACTATCAAAAGGTGAACTCCTTAACTTGACCAGCACAGTCTCAGATATGTTGTTGATATCGTCACTCTCAAATAAACACTGGTTGTGCTATAATTTGTGTAGCTAACGTATTGTTGTCTGTTTAGCTAGCAAACTGTGTTAGCCAATGTGACGTCACCTGTGTGTGTGCGCGTCTGATATTGTAACACAGCCAAACTGTACTTTTATTAGCTAATTGTGAATTCTCTCAAACCACACCTGTCCTTTACTGATATTAAACATGTTAATCTGTTAGAAGTGCCTTGTGTAAATGCTTGTGTGATGATATTGTCATTGATATTGCATCAGCTCAATATCTACCTTTGAGACTGTTTGTTTTCAGGTCTCTTATCTTTGGTCAATACTAGTCTGATAGTTTGTGTTGTGTTGGCCTAATGTTTGGTGTTATCTTTCTTTCAGTTTGATTCTCCCTCTGCCTCAGAATGTAATAGATTATTTGCTGGACGACGGAACACTAGTAGTTTCTGGAGGGTAAGCATAACTTGACTTACCCCTAAAACACATACATCTAGTGTCCTGTATCTATTCCCATACACTGTGCAGATCCAAAGTGGTAATAGAAATACGGTAAAATCTCCCTCCGTGTTATTCTGTTGCCAAACTTTGTATCTGCACAGTTCTTCCTGTAAATGAGTTTGTCTCAGCGTAATTCCATTCAATTTTTTTTTTTTGTCATTTAGCAGACGCTCTTATCCAGAGCAATTAGTGTTAAGTGCCTTGCTTAAGGGCACATCGACAGATTTTTCACCTATTCGGCTCGGGGATTAGAACCAGCAACCTTTCGGTTACTGGCACAACGCTCTTACCCACTAAGCTACCTGCCGCCCATGGCGTTGCCCTTATATTCACTGATACAATCTCTCCTCATTCCAGGGACAACAACACTCAGCAAAACCAGACCAACAACAGTGACTCAGAGGAGGAGGAAGACATTCAGGTAATTTTAGCTCCAGACATAGAGGTGCGCTTCATCTCGCTTTCTAGTAAAGTGGAGACTGAAAAAGCAGACTTTATGCTCAATGCTTAAATGTTTGATTTACTGATTGATTTAATTTTCTTCTCTCAATAAAATTAGTGGTCAGATGATGAGACAACCACCACTGTAACAGTAAGTAATGTAGATCATGTTAAATATTATCAATCCATCTGTATATCATTTTTGTCAAGTTTGTAATATGATATGCATACAGTGAAGATGTGGAGATTTGTTGTGGTTGCTTTGTGTTCCAGGCTCCAGAGTTCCCAGAATTCAACTCCAAAGTGCTGGAGGCCATAAACACCCTAGGTGGGTGTGTCTTTCCCAAACTGAACTGGAGTGCGCCACGGGTGAGAGACTCAACCCTCTAACACGGGGGTGTCAAACTCATTTTAGCTCAGGGGCCACATGGAGGAAAATCTATTCCCAAGTGGGCCGGACCGGAAAAATCATGGTATATATATATAACTTAAAAACAACAACTTCAGATTGTTTTCTTTGTTTTAATACGATCAACATACAACATAAAGCTGGAGCCTGAGGACAGTGTGTCCAAAATAGTACAAGCACAACATCACTATTAATCATAAAACACGTCAAGTTTATTTGAAAAAGAAAAAGAAAAAGAACACACAAACACACAATGCCTCAGTGATTAACAGAACTGTTTCACAGATCACAGAACTATATCAGGGTGTCATTTCTCAGGCAGAAATGTAGATAAAAATAATGAAATCCTGTTCCCCAAACAAGTGCAAGAACCACAGAGTCAAGAATAGGTTAAATATACAAATAAAATAAAATCAATTAAAAACAATAGCACATCAACATATAAACATAAAGCTGGAGCCTGAGGACAGTGTCCAAAAGCACAACATCACTATTAATCA